CTTCCTATCCAGCATAGAAAAATATTCTCTCTGATTGTTCTGTGATATGTAGGTAATTTATTTGAGCATATCTAGATCTGTAGCACCTGTTCTCTTCTTAGAAAGTAAAGCATGCTTAATAAAATTCATTTTCAGTTCGATTTAATGAGTACAAAAGCTGTTCAGTAACCTGGAACACTTTATATTTTGAGATTTGTTTAAGTGAAAGTGAGAGATGTATTCTAGCCTGGTGCAGTTTTGAAGAAAATGTAAAAGTTATTTGATGGTTTGTGTTTTCTTCTGAAGATACAATTGAATTTTCATTGAGTGAAGTTACAAAAATGTCTTTGTATGCTGTCGATTATTGTGCTCAGAAAGAAATATAATTCAAATCGGCAGACTTAAAAAAAAAAATAAAAAAAAAACGGCAAATCAAAATCAGAAAGACAATGGGCCTCTAGTTATGAGAACTTTGTACTCACCTTCGTAACACTGAAACTAAGTCTGACGAAGCCGTGCAAATAAAATACTGGCAACACTTAGTCATTGCACAGGAAACGCTGAAGTCAAAGTTGAACCAGAATTCCAGACGCTTGAAATAATTTAACCTTTTCACCTTTGTTTTCTCTTGCAAACATGTTTGGTTAGCCTGGGGGTTTGTTTACGACCTGTATGATCATCCGGTCGCTCCTGTTTCTTGCCCTATGTGAATTCTTTTTAGTGAAGTCCTAGCTCTCAGCAGTACAACATAAATATCACTATTTTTAGCTCTACTATGATAGGAAGATGGCCAAACTATGAACCTAAGTCACAAGTTGGATAAATTAACGTTAACACGAAGTGAAAGAAAAAAAAAACAAAGCCAGAAAAACACCCTGATGCGTCCTGATCTATTGAGGTTGCACACCAAATCCACGTAAGTATAACACTAATTATGTTTAATGAGTCTTAACTGTGACAAAAAGTTAATTTAAATCTATTAAAGAAAACCATTTTAAGACATTAGTAAAAAGTTATTGCATTAATGATGTTTAAACATGTCCAAGCGAAAGTGTTACTCTGGTAATTATAGTGTACCAGGAATGCCATCTGACGCTGAGGAATGTGTTGCTAATATTCTGACTCCTCTTAACAACACAACTCTCTGCTGCATCACAGAAGTGGAGGTGGCCCTGAGGCAGTGTTAGACGTTGTTAAGGATAGCAAGTATCCTCACACAACCTGTTCTGCTCTGTCCCTGAGCTGGAAAAGAGAAGACAATGTTCTCTCTCATCCTCCCACTCTCACCACTTTCTACCTCTGCTTGTTTGCGAGATGCCTTTCGCAGCACACTACCCAAAAAAGGCCAGCTTGTGTATGTGAAAAATGGGCCGTTAAGACGGTAACCACAATAAATATCAGCGGCGAGGATAAAAATACACATTCCTGTCTTTTGAATATCATCACAGTCTCCTAAGCTGCAGCACCCTGAGGTGAAACTCCTCAGAGAATGAGAGTCTTGATTAGTCTCATACTGTCTCTCGTTCTATCTCTGTGTCTCACGCCCAATATACAGTATCTACATACACATGAGGGCACACAGGAGTTATTAGTGTGTGCGCTGCTTGTCAATCCGTCATATGGACACGTTTACCTCAGAAAACCTTAAATCTGGGGAAGAGGAAAGATGGAAAGAGAGGAGGAATGAACAAAAAAGGAAGTGGGTGCAGGACACAAGATAGAGGGAGAGAAACAGTCGAGAATGAAGAAGAAGGCTGGGAATGGGATGCTAATTCCCTTGGAGTGAGCTAATCCCTAAGAGGTCTGACATCCTTTGCTTTATCTAGGAATGCCATGTGGCACGAGGCGCAGACAACAGACCAGAAATGCCTGACACTCAAGACTACGTCCACTACGTCGCTAATTTGAAAAGCGCTCTTTACATAAGCAAACGATATGTGCCAATAGAAAGCCTGTATTGAGTGATCAGCGAAATTTTAAATGAGAAACGACTGAGTGGGGCTGCGAAGGGGGTTGAAATTAACTTTTTTTGTCCATCGGCCACCGTGGCTGGTGGATTTTAAAGTCCATCAGCCACTTACAGATAACTATTGTTTTGTTGGCTGGTGAGTAAAGCAGATCTAGCAACCGGTTGTATATTTTTTGGGGCTAATTTCCAACCATGGCTACAATTAATGAGTATATTCATTACTGACTAACCTGCTAATTATTTTCACAGCAAATCAATTCATCATTTAGTCTCTAAAATGTCGAAAAAATGTGAAAAATACTCATCACAGTTTCTCTGATTTGTTTCTTTTGTCCAACCAGCTGTCCAAAACCCAAAGACTCTTCATTAAGTACGATAAATGACAAGGAAAAGCAGCAAATTCTCACATTTAAGAAGCTTGAACCAGCAAATGTTTGACATTTTTGCTTGAAAACTGGCTGAAACGATTAATCAATAGTCAAAATAGTTGGTGATTAACTGTCTTTTGATTGACTAATCGATTAATCGTCATAGCTCTACAACGGGTGGGTTAGAAACAACTCAATGTTGTTCTTTTGGCCTCAGTGCTCCTCAGTACCTGCTCATGCAACTCAGGGTTTACGTCATTGTTTACCAAAAGCTGTTTTCCCCGATTCCTCATCTCTGGAGACCATTTTCAAAAAGTGTAGTTTTTAGTTGTAAAAGCTGCCAGCTTAGTGTGGATGTCAGGCCCAAGTCAAGCAAAAAAAAAAAAAAAAAGCTGGTTTAAGTTGGACGACGAGGAACAGAAGTCTGGCTGTATACTGCTAAAGCGAGACTACAACAGCTACAACAGCTACAACAGCTACGTGCGTCTGCTCCATAACGAAGCCGTGACCCTTTGACACACAACTATAAATTTCGCCTGTAGCGCGAAGAGAACACACAGAGGGAATCCACCCAACCATTACACACTCAGACAAACACACACACACTCTTCCTTTCTCCTCAATCTCGACTTCATCGCCTCACAAACAGCCACAGTGTTCAGTGTCAACAGTGGTCACACTATGTGGCGCTAACATTAAAAATGCATCCAATTAAAGCTGCAGGGGAAAATACTCCTCTGTAAACGGCAACAGTCTGTAACATGTTTGCAGCGATGATAGGCTTTCTAAACAAATTAAGCCAGAGGAGCTCTACATTACTCATCCTGGCTGGCTGTCTGGCCAAATTCTGCCTCAATTGCACAGTTGTTTGATCAACTGTTGGTGCGCTGTGTATGTGTTAATGCGAGAGGAGGAGAAAAAAAGAACAGATACGAGTCCAACGGATACCAGGCGAGCTGAATACAGCGAGACAGCAGCAGAGAAACGCAGCAAAACTTGTCTCCTATACTTTCATGTTTCTGCAGTCGTGTGCTGTCATATTTTTGCAGCTCTGTTCCGTCGGCTGGCAGCGTCTCTTTTTCTTTCACTGTGCACTACTTGTCACTCCGCCGATGGTCGGCGGGTGTGTGTTCGAGTAGTGTATGTGTGTTAAACCTGTCGCTTTCTGTGCTCTGACGTCCATGCGCTTATCGCTTTGGCTGATCCCTGCTAGTCGCGCATGTGTGTACAGTATCTGTGTCTGTCTGTCTGTCATACACATTGCGCATGCATGTGTGTGTGTGTTTGTGTGCGAGGCAGATGTTCCCCGGGCGGTGCCATTGCTCAGTGTTCACACACACGGCACTAAGGAAGATTAACCGGCACTTTATTTATTTATTTGCTTCCTGGATCTGCCCCCACCCAACAAACCACCCACCACCCACCCCCCAATCCTCCTTAATCCCTGGTAGCAAAGAATACAGAAGGAAAAGAGAGCACAATACTGGAGCTCGGTGGCAGAATTTTACACCACTCAGGATGTAGTTTAAAAATGACTAACTTTTCTGGTTCAGGGCCATGAGTAAAAATGTAAGTGCACAGACACAAGAAGCTTGAATGTGGACCACAATAAGCTCTTCAATGTATCACATTTCATCAGTATAGTGTAGTGCTACTATTAAATTCAATATCAGATTACAAAAACGTGCCACTTAAAACTCTACAAAGGGCAGAAAAATGTGACATACAGTTAATTAAGGCTTGAGAGAGGACTTAAAAGTTAAAGCATCAATTTAAAGGTACAGTATGTAGGATTTTGGGGCAGACATGGAATATAAGTATGTTTTCTTTAGTGTATAATCACCTAAAAACAAGAACCGTTGTGTTTTTGTTACCTAGAATAAGCCATTTATATCTACATATGAAGCAGGTCCTAGTGTACAGAGATCACAATGTTGCACAGCCATGTTTCTACAGTAGCCCAGAGGGGACAAACCAAACACTGGCTCTTGATAGGGCCACTTGCATTGCACAGCATCAGAAAAACAATGATTTGTAATGTGAAAATGTTTAGATCACCAGATCTGTGTGTTATGGAGAGACAGAAACCCCTGAGGATATTTTCTGCTCCTGGTAGAAACCTCCTGAATTCTAACCTCACTGCTTTGTGCCACTAAATCCCCCTAAATCTTACACACTGAACCTTGAAGTTGCATAGTCTAGAAACTCCTGTCAGCACTCTACACTCACATTCACTTTTTCTCACTAGAAATCAGCATGAACACATGAATCTTCCTCCCTGTCCCCTGCCCTGCATCTACTGACTGCGGAAAAATGAAAAAATTAAGAAAATTTAAGTTCTTTGGAACCAAACCGCTCTTGAATCATAGCGCCATGATTTTTGCTCTATTCTCCGAGTATTGACACTGGCCACAAGCTTCTCGGCGGGGACTGGCTGGGTTTTTTAGCCGGAGCCAAATAAGATCCTGCACAACTCCTCATAAACAGCAGCTGCAGACTGCTCAGTTCCCAGTTCCTCCCCGGCCGCCAGCCCAGGAGGGTCCAATCAAAACCAGCCACATTACTCCCTCACTTCGCCTTTGTGTGCCAAGTCTGCTCCGTGTTGGAAAAAAAAGAAGCCAGGACTAAACCAGAGAGCGTGCAACAATCACCAAGCTTTGGATTAGAAGGAAAAATCTTTTTACCTGTGTGAACTTTGACCTTGGTGGTACTGCCGCTGTGGTGGTGGCCGCCCCCTCCCCCACCCCGCCCTTCATGTATTCCTCACGCACAGTCCTTCACTGACCCCCCTCCTTAAGCGGTGATCTGAGGGGAAGGAAGACAGAAAGAAAAGGCTGTTAAATTTCTTTTAATGAAATGCCAGGGAGAAGCTGGTTCAGACAGAGGACAAATGTCTCACAGAGAAATAGACCCTGGTGTTGAAAAATGTATGCAGGAAGCCATGAGGGACTTTGCTATACTGCCCCATTTACTCTACCTCCTAACCCTGCCGGAGAGCCAATGAACCAATGAACAACTGCACCACCTATCACAGTGCCGTGCCTGTGTACTGCAGCAGTCCTGTATATCCCCCCCACGCGACCCCACCCCCCACTGCACAGGAACAATGTCCTTCCTAAAGGTTATCAGCAGCCTGGCGCTTGGTCAGCCCTCATCCTGAGTCCATTACACACACAGCAGCGAGATTCACTGCCTTAATACACCTCTCTTAGTCTCTCCTCACTGCTTCGCTGCACCCTTTACAGGCTGATACAAATCCAGCATAGGCCCAGAACACACATACACAGGTTTTGGGATTAGCCTAGCAGCACATTGCCATTCTGTCTCCAGACATCTGCCACGCACTTCACTTTGATTGGTGGAAGTTTCATCATGAAAACTGTGATGAAATACCACATTAGCCTGCATATTACACAACCCTGATTTTTAAACTCCTCTCCTCTCTTTGCAGGACTTTCCTAGCCACGCTAGTCAGTTAAAAAATTCAATTTGTCCAATACTTTATCTTATGATCAACTAGCAGCACTCCCATCAGTCTCAGCTGTGTTTAGTGTTTGGTGCTAATAAGCAAATGTTGCTCAGTTTAGCATGCCAACAGGCTTAACTGGGATGGCGAACCAGGTCAGTATCAGTATGTTAGCATCGTCGCTGTGAGCATGTCAGCATGCTGATGTTAGCATTAACCTCTAAGCCCCTGCTGTGCCTAAGCCCAGCCTCACACAGCCTCTAACATTGCTGTAGACTCTTACTCATAAGGTAAAATTTCACATGTATTGTCACATACAAGATGTATGAAAATGCATTTAAAATATGTTTTATAGTAGCAATACAGCACAGTGAATCCAAAACCAGTGTCAAATACTTTAGAGTTTCTCTCCACCAAACTGTCTCCGGGGAGGAAACTGCAGCTACAATCACATCTAAGATAACAAAAGAGCTCTTTTTTTTATATTAAGGTGAAGCCACTTGTAGTTGCCTCATTAATCCAACTCCACTTCAACTATGTCTGTGCCTGATTGTGCCGTGGCCTTTCCCAAAAGCTTCAAAAGAAAATGCAGGTGGCTCAGAATAATGTTATCAGATACATGCTCACAGAAAGGACCTGTAGGAATGAATCAAGTTGGATTATTACCTGTTGAAGGTCGAGTTAAACTGAGACTGAAGCATATGTTTGATTTACTTCACAAAAGTGCCCCAGAATACATGAACTGACAAACTGACATGGATGGAAGCCAACATAAGTGCAACACAAGAGCAAGCATTATGTCAGTGTTACTCTTGTTAAAGGTGAAATAGCAAGAAGCTCAGCCTGTCCCTGGAAAGCAAACAGGGCCAAACAAAGGTAGTTTCTAAAACAAAAGTTAAATGCTATCCTGTGGGATTTTTGTGTGATACTCCTTTGAGTTGTTGTGCCTTTAAATTCCTCATAAAAATCAAATCAAATGTACTGTAAAAGGGGTCACTTATAATGAAGAAGACAGAGCATTTTTCAGCAGTTCTCCTGCATACACTAACAGAAACAGAGACTTAACAACTTTATTTGTTTCACTCTTTATCTTAAGGTCTTCTGGCAAAGACAATCCCTCAGGAAGACACACCGCTCTCTGTTCTCTCCCATTGTTTCATCACTTACAATCTCTACCACCGGTGCAAACAAGCTTCCTCTGCTTCGGGCTGCCCTCATGGCCATTTTCCAAGAGGTACAGTTTGTCTTGGCACTTTTAATCAGAGTCGAGGAAATTTTGGCCAGTGGGACGCTGAGATTTACATAAAAATACGGGAGCGTAACAGAGATTTCATATCAGCAATACTGGAAGGAACTACAGCAGCTATACAAGGTAGCAGTGTGCCACATGGCAGGAGTTTGCAGAAGTTAAAGTGCTCACACGCAATGTTCAAACATTTAAATGTGACAAAAACTATTTCCGTCCCTCCCATCTCCTACTGATATTGAGCCAACAATACATGGTTGGTTTAAGCAGGAGGGGCGTATGGACGGAGCGGAGCCCCCCATACATCTTAACACCTGCTCGTTCATTTAATCCACGAGAAGAAGGGAGCATACTGAGGAACATACTGTGGGAAGCGGGGGTTGATTTTGGACCGAGGCCAAAAAGAAGAGGACAGGGCGGAGGAGAAACCCATAAATACGCGGGGAGGCGAGCAGGTGTCGCAGACAAATGTGATTTACAGGGTCTTCGTCCCATACAGTGCTGACAGGTAAGCCTATTAGGTTGATATTACCCAGCTATAACACGCACCGATGGACCCTCTTAAAAACGTCTGTGCAGCGAGTGTGCAGAGGTTATGGGTTTAAGAGAAAGATTATAATATCACATTGTTAAGGTGGCCATACGTTATGTTCTGAAAATTCAATTAGTATATATTTCTTAAGGCAGCATCATTTAGCAACCTCACAAGAGAGCAATATTTATCTACCTAAAAACAACAACATGGTTTTGTTACAGCTGAGTTTAAGAGCAGAACCGGGCAAATATTTTTTCTCACACTCTGAAATGACACCAGGCTACAAAGCCAACAAGTGCGGGCGAGAGCTAAATAGTGAGACGGCAGTGCATTTTCAGCACATCGGAAACTGCCGGGGAGCAATCACCAAAGACTGCAAACGTTTATGAGAAACTAAATGCACTAGAACATCGAGCGGAGATCTGCAATCGAGTTTCTCTTGTAATACTGCATGGGAGACACGAGACTACAAGAAAATTGCTACCACTTGAGCGGCACACTACAGATGGTGTTGAGAGCAACACAGCACAAAGCAATGTGTTCCTTAATAATGTGGTGAATATTGCAGTGAAGAGCTGAGTGCTTTGTACAAGCTTCTGCAGACTCCAGCTTTTTTTTTTTTTTTTTTTTTTTTTTACCCTGTCAGAAGTGTGAACTCTTTCATCCCAGATATAAGAGGCTGCGGTAAAATCCTCAAAGAAACTAATCGTGTTAAATGAGGTTTGTGTCTGTATCCATGACTTCTGAGTGTGTGTGTGTACATGTGTGTAAGGGGGAGGTTATAGGTGCTTCTGGGAGACTACAAAACTCCTGTCACCTTTGGATCTAAACTCTGTGTCAACTCTCCACTCGAGCCACTCGTCTCCTGTTTCATAATCGTGCTTGGTATTACTCTCTTAACACTTCAATCCTGGTAATCGTATCTGATGATGTGGCTGTTCATTGACTGCGATAAACCAATTTTCTGCGCAAAGCCGTTAAAGTGATTCGAATGCTGGAGATGACAAAGCCCAAGTTTTCCCATTAAAAGCCCTTAACACCACAACGTTTAGTTTAGCTTCCTGGGGGGAATCCTAGTCTCAAGCGGCTGCTCAACTCATACAGACACTCACTTGGACGTGCACATACTCACACACACACACACATATATATATATATATATACACACACGCGCACACTTACACCTTATCATCCGAGGCTGAGGAAGCAGAGGAGCTATAAAAGCCAACCTCATCTCCTTAAAACAGGCAGGGCTGTCCCTGGGCGTCTTAACACAACTCATCAACTGTTAAACCAGAGAGAGAGGCAGAGCAGTAAAAATCAATGCCCCCCAACACGGCACACAGCAGTCAATGATGTTAGGTGGAAGAGGAAAGAGCGAGAATTTGCAGCAGCGTCTGGAGAGGCAAGGAGAAGCGAGCGGGAGGGAGGGAAGGAGGGAGAAAGTCCATGTTAAGCTAAAAGCGGTAAGCTAATATATGTAATTGATTACCTCTATGCAAATAGAAGAACTCTAAAGACCAGAGAATGCAATTTAAAGCAGCAGAGTCTCTGAAATCGATTGGCGCTGTGAGTGAGAGAAGCCATTTCCCTCCAGCCAAGATAAAACACTTTACTATGAGCTGTCAGATACTTATCAGGAGGAAATTAGCAGAGGAATACCATTTTCCCAAAACAAACAGGTCAAGTGTTTCTCCTCCTTGAGTGGTCTCTCCCTCTCCTTCACTCTCTGACGCTCTGATATCATCATCTGTTATTTCCTCCCTGTTTAAATGCCAGCAGCGGGCCGAGGCTGAGGGCCGCGTTTCATTCAAACAGATCATTTGTAATAAAAAACCATGCAGGCGGGCGGGTCCCCGCGCGCCAGCAGGAGCAGGTTGTTGTTTGAAAACGGAGAAGATGAGGTCTCTGGTTCGCCTCGGCTCCCGGGAGCAACCCCAGAGCCTGCCAGCGCCCGCACGTACACTCTGACGCAAGTCCGTCCTGAAATCTGCGAGCCAGATCTCACCAAAACAATATTTGCGTTTTTCTGGCCTGCAGTGTGTGTTCCTGGCTGAGGAGAGGAGGGGAAAAAAAAAAAAAGCAAGAAAGAAAACACTCATAAGAACAGAGCACAAAGAGATGTCGAAGCAAGCAGCAGCCCACACAAGACAGCCTTGTCGGAGAGAGAAGAGGGCGGCTCGGCGTCAACATCAACACCGGTTCTGCAGTCATCGCTCAGCAGGTAATTATGATAACAACGTGTTCCCTAGGCAGCTTCTCTCTGATTTAGTTTCCAAGCACTTACCCTTCCTAAAATCTCCTCCCGATAACATCTGATATGATTACAAAGTCAAGATCCTTTTCAAGGAGCGCCCACTTATGTGCCTCTAATTTGGTGTATAGTAACTCTCCCTCTTGTGACTGCTCAATGATGCTTCTCATCTTATTGTGTATGCTTAGTTAAGACATTGCAGCGTTCACATTTTCATAACATTTTGGAAAATGCCATGACATAAATGAACCTCACCTACCAGCGCCATCTGTTATTGAGCGCTCCACTGCCTGACATTACCTTC